AGGTCAGTTGTTACATAGACATGATGCTGATGAGTGGATTCATTGATTTCCTCATCCACCGCCTTCATGGCGCCAGCCAGGCATCCGATCAGAAAGCGGGCAAGTACCCAGATTCGGGTCTCAATCCAGGGAACACGGTTCATCTCAATCCCAAGCTTCCAAGATGAAACAAAAGAAAACGCACTGAATTCAGCTTTCAGTTTGCCGATTTCTGCAACTCTCAGGAGTTCGCTGACTGCCCTGGATATCAGCTGGAGCGCCATGCTTCTGGCACTTCCGGAGCCTTTGCCTGTGGAGACAGAAGACATCCTTCGCTGCAAGACCTATGCCTCTGGGACTAAAAATGGAATCGCTCCGTCAAAGTTTACTAAGACCAAGGGTCAGAGATGGATCACTTCAGTTGCCGTGTCAGTAGGAACCATTGTAACTAGAAACAACCAGTAGAGACGGCAAAGCGGTGGGCGTAAGTTTCTCAAAAGATGCTCACGAAAGGGAGGCTTGTTTTTGCTTGGGCGATCCCACTCGGCCTCATTGAAATGGTCATGGACGCCAGCTGCTTGTTTGTCTCCCTTGCGGTTGCGTATTTGTATTTGACTGATTGTTGATCTATATGCCTGGCGAACAATGTGTTTGTCAGGCTGTCTCTGTCAAGCTGACTATCTGTTGAGATCTCTATATCTGCCAAGCTAGCTACCCGTCGAGGTCTCGGCCTGTAGCTGGCTATCTGTCCAGCTATCTATGTGTCAAGCTACATGTCTGTCCAGCTATCTATTTGTTAGGCTATCTATCTGTCGGGCTGTCTATTTGTCAAGCTGTCTGCCTGTTGAGCTATCTGTTTGTCTCGCTATCTGTCCGTGCCGCCATTTGTTTGTCAGGCTACCCATATGTCGAGCTAGCTACCGGTCAAGCTAACGATCTGTCAAGCTATCTATTTGTCAAGTGTTAAAATATATCCTTCTATCTATCTAACCTAGCCTTCCAGCTATCCAGCTATCTAGCTATCTGGCTATCTAGCTATCTACCTATCCATCTATCCATCTATCCATCTATCTATCCATCCATCCATTTTTCCATCTATCCATCTATCCATCTATCCATTTATCCATCTATCCATCTATCCTGTCCGTCTATTTATCCATCTTCTGAAAGTGCTGCGCCTGCCATAAAACCCGCAGTTGGCCTTGCGAATGTGCTGCGCCTGCCACGAAATCTGTGCTTGACCTTGCGGCGCTGCACCAGTCACGAAAACTCCTGTCGGAAAAGCGCACGCCTCCATGACAATGGGATCCAATGGGCCCGGCGCCGAACCTGTCCCGCAACCGTTCCCCACTCGTCCCAGCGAAAAGCAGGCGTCGCGCCAGAGGTGGTTTGCGTTTCCCTCCCCAAGTGCTGCACCTGTCACGCAATCTCAACACTTGTCACCTCTTCTTTGTGCCTCTCTTTTCCGCTCTTCTTTTCTCTTCTCGTTGCGCTCTCGTCTACTTTGTCACGACAGCCTTTTCTTCTCTCTTCTCCTTCCTCTCTTTGAATCGACAGCTGGCCTTCACGTAGCGGTTTTATTCTAAACTTCCTTTGGTGACGGATGATGATGCTGCTGCTGATGGTGAGAGCGAAGCTCTCATTGGGGGGGTGTAATGTAGCTCGAAAATTCAGATACTAATGCGCAAACGGCTGAAACCTTCTTGTGTTTTTTCACCTTTTCTCATCCAAATTTTCAATGGGGATGATGCTGCCCAGCATCCTCAGCATCACCCGAGGCCCCCCCACCTTTTTGGGAGCTGCTCCTCCCTCTACGTAAAAGCTGTTCCTCCGTTTTTGCGAGCCCCTCTTGCATGCCTTTGCCTCACCAATATGGTGCGTGTTGCTTTTTGGGAGCTGCCCTTCCCTCCCTAACACACAGTTTTTGGGAGCCCCTCCTGCACGCCTGCAAATCTTCGCCTCACCAAAACCATGCCTGCTGTTGTTTTTTGCTAGCTGCTCCTCCCTCCCAAAGTCACAGATTTTGGGAGCCGCTTTTGCATGCCTGCAAATGTTCTCCTCGCCGAACGCGGGGCTCTTGGGAGTCCCCCGCATCACCTTTGCATCCATGACGCTTCCATGCCTTTGTTGTTGGGAGCTGAACTGGCTCGAGGTTGACTCGGGTTAATGATGCGTTACTGATGCTGGTGATCATAATCAGCCGTCGCATCATCATCGTCATAATGATCGTCATCATGATCGTCGTCAGTCGTCATCGGCATTATCACCGCCACCATCATCATCATTAGGGCCTTCATCAAGCCGCGCCACTGGTTGGCTCGACCAGGTGCGTTGCCCCTAATAATATTGACATCCTTTTGACCTGTTATGCCTTGAGCTGCAGTTTTTCCTAAAGTCAGGGGTGCCCCTTTTTGAGCAGTCAATGTTGGGCCACAAATTCAGCCCCCCTTGAGGTCCTTGCAGCGCCGGAGCCGGAGCTTTATTTGGAGATGCCCTGGGGCCAGGGGCAACTGGGCCGGGATTCGCCACGCGTAGCACGGCGTTTGTTGCAAATCAACCCACCGCAAGTTTGGGCCGAGGGCCCCTGTTTGAGAATTGGTTGTGCTTGCAATATGCTCCAAGTTTCGTTGGGGCAGGGGGGTTGGCAACCAATTGCAAAATACATGCACACACCGACGCACGGACGGACGGACGGACGGACGGACGGACGGACGGACGGACGGACGGACGGACGGACGGACGGACGGACGGACGCACGCACGCACGCACGCACGCACGCACGCACGCACGCACGCACGCACGCACGCACCCACACACACACACACACACACACACACACACACACACACACACACACATGCAGATTTACGTCAGTTAAATCTCAGCTGCGGTTGCACGTGTGCGCGTTGCGTAGTCAGCCCATCGCCACCAATGGGTGTTTGTGCAAGGTCCCTTCAGCAAGAATGCATGGTTGGTACATCTTGATCTTAAGCCAGATCACATCCTAACAGCGTTGTCCGAGGATCTTGCGTTTCGAGTGGAAAGTCAAGACTGGCGCGCGGTGGCAACTTGGCGATGACCTCGCCATTTAGTCTTGAGCAGCCAAGCTAGTCAAGCACTCGTGATCAACATGGTGTTCTCATCTCAGACAACTCGCAGGGTTTCAAGTCCAGACTTCCGTGGTCCGGCGAGGGACGACCAGCCACTTTGGGCTGAGTTTTAACCAGCGCCAAGAACAAGTTCAATTGAGTATCTTCCAGGTAGACTTGAAGGAATAGATCGGGCGCAGCGATTCTGCCATGAGGGATCACTAGCATTAGCAGATTACGCAGGTTCGAAGAAGTCAACATCCTGAGATTCGGCTTTTATTGGTCAATTGAAGGGTGGTGTATATACCCCTTCTTTCGACCCCTTGGTTGCCGCCTACGGATTGAATAAGGTTCCAGTACTGCACACAGGCTTGTAAGCTACAACATATTTTGGGTCGCCATACCCGAATCACTTCAGCGCAAGTCAGGCTTCAAGACAGGTTCCTAAAGCTGCCCATGATGGTTTTCAGATAGCAGGGTGGGGCATCTGAGGATATTGCCTGAAGGTCAGGAGATATCTTTCGCGGACCAGCCCGAGGATGTTGTGACTCCTGAGCAAGAGTTCCTCTGGGAATTGCTGGGACCTCCTTGAAAAACAGAGCGAGCGCCTGCAGTGCTCTGCGCTCGTGGATCCACCGAAAACTACACCACAATGTGACAATGTGGGGCGACACAGTTGTTGCAATGCCACTGTACTTTGACCTGCAAATGTAGCTTCGAAGGATTCTTGTTGCCCCCTTTTTTGCTGCAACTGCATTGCCGCATAGTGTGTGTATATATATAATTACGCAGTTGCCTTGCACGACTGCGTTTGCTAACCCAGACATGCAGCTTTGGTACATGCAGCCTTGACTTTCATGGTTTCCACATCACACGTTCTTACCCGGCATGAATGGGAGAAGTTGTCGAAGCCGAGTGGATGGACGTGATAGCCTCGAAAGCGGGGCAGCGTTGAGTGTTTACTTCTGGTTGCGTATTTTGCTTCGGCATCACGCTCGGGTGTAGCCAGTCTTTGACTGCCTGGCAGCATGATCTCCACATGTCGTGCTCCGACCTTGGAAAGGGGCCTCTCTGATTTCACAATTAGACTGAGGCCCAACATAACATGAGCACTCCGTTGCAAGCATCTTTAGACTTGCCCGTTGGCTTTTGGGCGCTGCTCTGGGCATTGCTCAGAGGTACTTGTTCCATCAGTTTTGGTCACCTACTCATGGGCGGTCTTTACGGCTTGCCCCTGCCAGGCCCACGTCGAAGGCCTCACGGCGAGGCACATGCCGAGCAGTTAGCCTTGTTTGGATTTCGTTCTCCTTGCTCAAGGCTCCAAGGAACGGAGTAGGTGTTTGAAGTATGTTGGCCAAGACGCCACATAGAAGGATCCTTGCTGGTTTCAGCCAACGGTTCGGGAGCTTTCCATGTAGTCTACACACAGGGGCGATTCACAAGTGCTCGAGAGCCAAACGGTCAGGAAGCATGCAGTGATGGAGATTACACAGACAATGGTGTCTATAAGGTTATTTGTAAGTCTCATGGCATAGTTGTTGGATGGGCAACTTATGCTGTGTGTGTGATGGTGTGAAATGAGTGTCTGCACGACCTGTTGTTTTTCGCGGCGCGCCGGCCGAGCCTTGACACGGAGATCAAGGTTTCCTTTCGCAGCACAAATCCATTAAGGTGAAACGCCAGTGGTGAGGGTTTAGAAGTGCAGAGCCCCTGCCTATTCCGCCAGGCAAAAGCAAAGGGTCGCGGCCATCCACTCGGGACAGCGCTCGCAAGTAGCGGCGCGGGCTGCCAGAGATCTGTTGTGGAAGAGCAGGCTGTGGTTTAGTCAATTATTCATGGTGCCTTTTTGCCAGCGGGCAAAGCAAGATGATGCCAATCAAGCAATAAAAGTTGGAATACGTGGAAACAAGCAGCCACACGATTGCGTCTAGCGTGAGAGAGGTTTCTGTTGAGCCGCATCACGGGAGCGCAGCCCGGTTTCATTCCGGACATTCTGATGCTGAGGGAAGAGGCAACATTTGACCAAAGTCATACATCTCTGGCCCAGTTTAAAGGAACGCTTGGATGTTTGCCCCTCATTCCTGCTGTGATCCTGCAGCCATACCTTCCATAGCGTCAGCATGGCCATTTGTACAAATGTGCGCTGAAGCTGGGCTGAACAACGGCCAGCTTGAAAAGGGTGAGGACGGCATTCGCGATGGCGACTGGTGTTGGGACTATGAGTTTGACGGTTTCCAGAGTGGGTCAGGTCATACATGTTGTGCATTTCAACATCATGTTTGATGCCGTTGACTGCACTCATGCGTCAGTACCCATTGAACCACGCAGAGGGAGATACCCTTAACATGATCTTTTGCTGGGAGCTACCGTTCCTGCAATTGCTTCCGTTGAGCGTGCAGTGGACGATGTACGCTTTGTGTGCGTCGCCCGATGCTTTCTGTTTTCGGAAAAGTGTTGAACTCCGATATAACATGATGTAACAATATGTATCATGTTTATGGAGCGTGAGTTTGCAGAATGCATTTGCCAATTCCGCCAGGCACACGAGCTGGCCCGGGCCACCTTCTATGCCCAGCTGTCGGCCACCAGGTCGGCACATGTGCCAGATGGGCGAGGGAAGGGGCCACACCCAGCTTGATGTTAGAGAAGACATGATGGCTTTGACGCTTCAATGCGTTGCTTATTTGGCTGTAGAATCTGTCTGGAACACCTAGGTGTTAAGCTGGTGTTAACAAATGCGCCTATGCTGTGGTGCTTCTGGCAGAAATATGTTCTTGGTATGACGCATGCTGTTGTGCTGGTTGTAGCACTTGTGTGTTGCTTCAATGCTGTTGCGGCTGCTGTTTCACGCTTAGAAACATGGAGCGCCGAGCGGCCGCCGCCAATAGTGGTCTCCTTACTTTCTCTTGAACACAGCGCCCTTGCTGGGATGCTTGGCTGTAGATGTGTTTTTATTAGTCTGCAACGGGAGCAGGTCGGTCAAGGACCGCTTCATTGTCGAGAGTATACATAGACATTTGTATGTATATCAATATTATATATATAATATATATACACCTTATACATGTGCACAAATTTGTGTCCATTGTTGCTGTCACCTTTGTTCTGCAAGAGCATGGTTGGCATTGATGCGCGCAGCTTGCCATGTGTTTCGAACAGTATGAGACGAAGCCTTCCTTTTCAGATCTTTTAGCTTTTGGAATTCGGTCCGTCGGCTGCTTCATTGCTACACGGCTACATGTCCTGTCCTCGCCTGGCATGCTTGCGCCGCATCATGCTGTGCCGCGCCATAGCTCCGACAGGTGGATTGATATCTGAAACGTGAAAAACAATCTGCCCCAGTGCCGCATTGCTCCCCAGCTTGCCGTTTTGATCAGTGAGGCCTCAAGTAAACCCATGGAGAACCAACAAACCATGGAGCTTCATGGAGCCATGCATTTTGGTTGGGATGTTGCTTCCTTCTTACAATCCTCAGAGTGTGGAGCTTGGATTCTTGTCATACCTTGTCCTGCAGTATGCAAAGCTGACCAGCTCTCACCATCGGCTTTTTTGGGTTGAGCACCTTGCCACTGCAACCTAGAGAAGTGGCTACTTGCCATTGGAAAGGTGGATGGCTTGAGGAGCTCCCTTCAGCCATGGAGTTTGCACTGGGCGGTCCCCCAATGGACTACGGCCTGGAGCCCTAGGAGTAGCGTTCTGCACGTGACAAGGAACAAGAGTGGGAACAATGGCAAAGCACCGGATGTTTCATCAAGGAGTCTGGAGTTCATACACAGTCACGACCCTGCAGTGCACATATTCACATCCGCAAAACGGATCACGGTGGACGTCATCTACACGGATGTGTTGTTGGTGGATCTTGCATTGGACCTCCTGAAGGCATGCTGGCTCTCTGGCAGGGTTTGCCCTCTCCCCACAACATGTTGTACATGTGTGTCAGGTTCAATGCTAGCATGCAGCACCTGCTTCCGGAAATGAACTCGAGTTTACCGTGCATTCTGTTGCTGCGTACTATGTGGACGGTATAGGACTCAGCGTGTTCTTTGCTCGCAAACGTTCTGGGAGGTGAATGAATTTACTCTTGACACAAACGTTATACAACAATCTTTGAGACTGACACTGATGATCCAATTCATCTTTTCGTGCCACCGCCTTCCTCGTTCAGAAGCGGGGAACGTGCGACTGAGTAATTGCAACTTGTGCACCATTCGCCTGTGTTGGTCAGCTGCATATTTGTGCGCTGTTGCGGAGGCTACTGCGGATTCCGCAACGTTGTGCTTTTCATAGCTTACCATCTTCACCCACCCGACCCCACCCCACCCTACCCAACCCAACATCCCCCAACCCAACCCCACTTCACACGTCACATCCCACACCCCAACGAGGTGCGAATCGGGGGCTCTAAGAAGTCCAGAAGATAGTCTAGTGCTGGATCCATTCCAAGCAAACGGGCAGTATCAGATGTATGATATATATATATATATATAATAATCATTTTTTGGCTTGGCCGGGTTGAGCTGTGTACCAAGCTGTGGGCAGTGTCACGCTAGCAAGGACGTACCGTTTGCCTGCGGAATGGACAACTATGTGCGATGTCTGAACGAGGCTTGAGCCATTCAAGCGTCGTGTCGTGTATGAATGGATATCAGTGAAGAAATAGCCAACAAACCAACGAACCACTCAACTCACTCCACCCCACACCCCACAGCCCACCCACACCCCACCTACACCCACACCCCACCTACACCCCACCCGAACCCACCCGATGCCATGGAGTTCCCGAGCGGGCAACCCTTCAGAACCTGCTTGGGGGCCATGTTTCTCGTGGCCCAGCACAGTGAACGCCTGTACTCGCATGCTTATTTCTGTAGGAGTATCTTTGCCCAAGATACCCGAGAGAAACCCGAATGCCAATGATTTGATATTTACTGGCAATATTAAGCACATGCTTGACCTGCTTGCAATGCCTCTTTATCCTTCTGTTTGCATATTTCATCATTGTTGTCTCGGACTGTCGGCTTGACTCCCGCTGCACCAGCTGTGGACATGCATCTGCTGTTCGTATGGCAATGCCGTTGTTGCATGTAGTTATCGTTGTTCCTAATGTTCCTGCAACCTTTCCCAAAGCGCTGGGACAGCACGATGTTTTCTCAAACAATGTTCAATGGCTCCGGCACCTTGCTTGCTACAAACAACGACAAGCACAGCTGAATAAAGATGTTGCAAACACGCACCTCACCATTTTAACGTGACTTGAAGCACCACAATATCTATTCATGTGCTACATGTGGTTGCCGCGTTTGCGCTCGAGTTGCCGAACGGCGCTCTTCAGTGGGGGTATGTGTCAAGAAGCAGATATAAATGTCATGAATAATATACTTGCCCAACCAATCTAGCATATAAGGTTGTTCTTCAAACATTGTTGTGTGCCATGGTGCCCAGTTGCGCTCATTTTGGGAAAACACGATCATTTACAGACCGAGGGGACAAACCAGGTTACTATTCACACAACTGCTGGCTCAGTTGCCAGAATCAAGGCAAATCTCGTGCACAGAAAATGGCCGCCGGCAAGGTGACAGCTTTACGCCAGAC